GGTGCTCCAGCTGGAGTTTGTCTCCCATTGTTCTCTGTCTTTGCTTCTTTTTGAAGCCACATGTCCAGTCCATGACTCAAGCACAAAGGAATGATGTAAAAGCCAACTCGAGCGGTTCCCTGGCTTAAAAGATTTCCGTGTTGATAGAAGAAGATGAAAGAAGAAGAAAAAGTCTGAAGAATTTTGTGAGAAATTTGAATTTGGGCCTATTCTCCAGAAATGCTCCCGCTACAGTGCAGTCCACTTTAAAGGTACCAGGAGAATCGCTCAGTGAAGGAGAGCTCATCTAAGCCATTTATAAGGCTGTACAATGTAAGATAAAAGAGTTATAAGTGTTTGAAAATCATAAAAACGGCTGCCATCTTGAAAAATCAACCTCAATCCTACATATAGACCCCTTTCGGCGAGAAGTAGCAGCTTGTGAATATCATTAATTTTGCAATGAATATCATTATATCTCAGTTACGGTATACGCCCACATACAATAATTGGCCGCCATGTTTTACGTCAAGCAGCAAGTGCTTTCTGTGTCCTGGAGATCTTGGTCACTACATTTTGAAGCTAAAAACTATTCTAGAGTCAAGAAAGATGCCAAGAGAGCCAACCTAGGAAGTATAGTGCAATACTCTTGTTGTATGAGCCTGCTTTCCTCTTTGGGCTGTGACAGAGAGTCAAGAACTGATCTTTCTGGCTCTCCCAGACTTCTTAAGTCTTCAAAATATCTTGCTATAGTAAAGAACAGTTGATATGAAGCCTCTCATAGTCCTGAGTTCAGCACAACAAAAGTTTTATTGGCAAAACAGCTCTACTTTGCACATCAGCCATTGGAACTCTGCATAACTTTGACGTAAAACATGGCGGACAAAAATCCGTTCAATATTATTTCTTTGTATATACGGTATCACAAACTAATTCTCGCCTAAAGGGGTCTATAGGCTACTGCCTATATAATAAATAAAATAATAAATATTCAAGGTACTATACAGGTAATTCTGGAATGAAAAATTATGGTATTTTGATAGCCATTTACTAAACATAGTCCTTTGTACCATTATGTACAATGTACATATTCAATGGCACATGGACACAAATTTGCCAAATTAAAACTCGCCAATCATCAAAAATTAATCCAAATCCCCCCCTCCCGGTCCAATATTAGGAGGTGTAGGGTATAAAGTACAATACTTACTTGATACATCAGTACAGTCTATTCTGTTGTATTGTATTATATTAATATATGAATTAATGAGAGGAGGCGTTCCTATAAACTATACAGGGACTATTAATAACAATATATACGGTATGTATACCACTGACCTTACTCAATACAGTAACGTTATCAAACTCTACTAGCAGGCTCCCTTTACTGTCCCAGAGAACTTTACAAGTTACTACACTGGCAGCCATTTTATTATAAACCACGCCTATTGCACCGCAGTAACCACACCCCCAATTATTATCATGGCATTATCAAATCAAAAAAATTTTTTATAACAAAACACAATTTACGACTCAAAAATAGTAAATAACTTGAGAATTTCACACAAAATAATTTATAAATTAAGGATACATTAAAAATTTTACCTATAATAACAAAATTTTACTGTAATTGAACACAAGTTACACAACTAAGGCCATTCTTCATTGATCAGCAGGTCATGTTAATCTCTTACATCCTAAACAGTAAAAAGTGATTAAAGATTACATGGAATGCAATGTATAAATACATATACAGTGCATCATGTGTGTATGTAGTACATAAATGTACATACACAGTAAATGTACATGTACATGATACTTCACTCACTGATGTGATTAGCTGTTGGTTTGCTGCCATTACGTTCAAGAGCATTAACCAGTGTGGTCCAGGTTGCTCCTCCTTTAGCATCTACACCATCAGCTCTCTGCAACCATTTAACTATACACTTTCTAAGGCGATCTTCTACTGTAGAGTAATCTGACTCTATAGTATCCAGTGTTGTATCATGTAACCCCAGTTTGAGTCCTAGATCCTTCCAATTGCTACTATAATAGTGACCATCCTTCAAGTCTGTAAGGATATCATCCAAAGCAGGTATATTGAGTGCTTGCGAGTATCCTGAATCTATAAAATGAAACTATTAATAATACACCAGCAGTAACATAATACTCAGAACAATATGTACATGATATAGAGCTTGCTGCACACAAAAAACTAGTGTGTCAATGACTTACATGCACCCACAGAGGGCATTAATGTAGGGGCACAGTCTACTATACCAAACCAGCACCAGTAGCTATCACCACTTATGTCAGCTGACCTTTTGCACAGTGTACAATTGATGGAATGGTCTTTCTCTACAACACAGTAACAAGTGCTTCTCTTAGGACAAGAGAATGCAGTGACATGATTGTGTTCAACATTGATGGCATCAGCACTTTTAATGACAGCCTTTATGACTAGTTCACGAATATAAGGACAGTTTACTTTTGCTTCCTGAACTGATTCATCAAAATAAACCTCAATGTGTGTGTAGCGATTGATTATGTGAAGTGTGTAACGTTTCCTGTTAATACAAATCCAGAAAGAAAGTGCATCACGATACCTGTAGTACTGATGTGGATCCAATGGAGGGAAGTCTACCTTGCAGGGGTACTTATTATGAGTGAGGAGGTGAGTAATGACTAATGGAAACATTCCTTGTGGAACAGGAAGTGTATTGATACCATCATTATCCTGCCAGACTATAAGAAGAGGTTTGGTTTCTATTTGAGGTTCAGGTGGTTCAGTGTACGACTCCAAAGCACAAGGAAAGAAATAATCTCCATCTTCTCCACTGGCAATGATACGAAGATGAATAAGGAGCTTAAGTAGATGAGATGGCTCAAAATGAGGTGGAGAAAAAAGCGATTTTAAATGATCAATCAAGAGCTTCTCTTTAAAACAACCAGAAGAATGTAGTTTCTTGATATCATCCTTTGATGGTTTAGAGTCAGCAATAAGCTTTAGTGAATCCCTTTTAACATAGGTGAAAGCTAGCAGACGTGATAAAACTTCAAGAATAGGCTTAGGATCAACAAAAACTAATTGTGGCAAGATATCAGGATAATACAGGATAATAGTCACATTGTGGAGATACTGTAAGGCATGCTTAGTATCATCCACACTCATTTTAAACCTTTTACCAGCAAATATGGCTTCATCTATTATGAGAAAACAACGGCTTTTCTTCTCTGCTACATTTTGCAACCAAAGCTCAAATGCAAACCAACGGAGAGGCATATCTATTTTAAGAAAAGCATCTTCACAATTTGCTATCGATTGACATAAATCCTGTCCTGCTTTCATTCTTCCTTTATCTTCAGGGACTAGTGTATTCACAGGAAATATGATAGACTCTCCATGAACATTCGAGACAACATAGTCTTTCATTTCAGGCTTCAATGAAGACACCAACTCTTTATTTATCTCCTTAAGCATGTCATCATTTATGAGATCATAATGTGTACCAAGTACAAAATTCATTGGATGTGAAGGTGTTTCAAGGACATGAGGGACATCAATTGGTTTCAAAATGGCTCCAGAAGAAATTGCAGACTGAAAAAATTCTCGATTTGAATACTTTAAGTTTAAACCACAGGAAAATATCTCCCTTCCAATCCTGTATTGGAAATCAAGTTTGTCATCAAGAGGCTTTGAGAGGTCAAGAGTGATGATATTGAGAGAAGCTGCTCTAACAAACAATGGTAGCAGCTCCTGGTATGCTGGCTGACCTCCAGAATCAATAATGTACAACCAATGACCACTTAAATTCAGCTGGACCTCTGAGCTTTGGATTGTACCCACAATTTCCTGAATCACACCTTCACCAATTGAGAAACTTTCATTTGAAGCAAGACTAGATTCATCTGCTTCAGTAGCAGAATCATTTCTTTCTCTAGTAGATTCATCCTGTGATTCTGAAGTTTGCTGTTCATCTGTCAAAACTGGAGAAGAATTTCCAGGAATGCTTTCTTCATGATGAGTAGCTAGAACTTTCTCTTTAAGATGAGAAGCAGCAGCTTCCTTTAAATCAGAGGCCAGTCTTTCAAGTAAACCATCTCTATCAACTTTCTCCCATTTCATAGCTTCATTGTCGACAGATATTCTTGTAGCTTTGACAGCTGGACGAGCAATTGGTGTACTGTCAGTGACATAGTTGGTAGGTGGATTATTTAGCAGAAGATCTTGAGCACAGGTTTTACCAGCTCCAGGAGGTCCATGCATGTTAACACGAGTAACAGTTAACTCAACAACACCTTCACTAAGCCACTTCTCTATAACTTCTAAAAAAATTGCTTTACAAAATGTACAAAAGAAATGTAAGGGTGTGAGGTACATGCAGATATACATGTATACATGTATATAGACCACAAATGATTACCATGTAGCTGGAAAAGTTGCGCTGTTGATACACTGAATAATCATTAATGAAATTAAATGGTAGGAAAATTAATTACATGTATTTCCAGCTATTATTATGGTAATTGTCTGTGTATACTGTATGCTTGGATGAAACAATCTTAGACCTTTTCCCCCACTCTCCAAATTGTAAAATACAATAATGTTGTGATAATTAACTGGCTAATAATACATAAATAGTCATAAATAATAATAATAATACATATATGTACATGCACATACCTGGCTGCAAAGTTTGGTTCTCTAGTTCTCTGTCTCCTAATAACTGTTTGGCACCTGCTCAAAAATACAAATGTGGATAAGGTGATTGGTAACACAAATACTTATGTAATATACACATGCACATGTACATGTAATACATGTAATAGATTAAAGTTACATGTACATGTACTAATGTATGTCAAACAAAGATTTATTATTCAAATTGCTTTACTAACTGACTTTATTTATTGAGCTTAAAATCATTTCTTCTCACTAAAGTTTATTTGCTTTCTGGAAAGCTCAAAACTCATCCTGTCATAAATCTGTTATTTTATTTATTTTTATTTTGTTGGTATGATTAGTATAGGTTATACAGGCAAGACAAGTAAAAATGAATTAAGTGCAGGAGTTTCACAACTTTTACCAGCACTTTAATAAGTGTTTCTAAAGGTTTCTAAATCTTTCCACACGGTAGTAAGCTAGTAATTTAGAAACCTCTAACAATGCAATCTGATTGGTTACCGTATTTCCTCAATTACTAGCCGGGGCTGCTATAAAATTCAGCTCAAGTCAAGGGGGGCTACTATTCGAGGGTGCCTACTATTTCTCTCCTAGCAAACACGTGGCCAGTCACGCCTGCATGTGACCGCACCTATCACTCAGCATGAGTGTGCACCATTGTGTAGAAATCAAGCTAACTTGAGCTAAACATAGGGAGACATGAAAATTTTTACATGAAAATGTCTATGTCTACAAGGCAATATGGAACAACAACACGCACTCAAACAAGCACACATAGCACATTAAATTTTAATTAACTGCGGCTTCTATTAGAGGGCAGCTACTATTACAATAATTGCAAGCACAGAGGGGGCTACTATTTGGATGAGGCTACTATTCGAAGGGCGGCTTATATTTGAGGAAATATGGTAATTCAAACTGTACATTGTAGAATGCCATTATAGTACTTATTAATAATGTGTATAAAAGAAATAGCAGATCTAAATTCAATCAAGAACATTCGTGTCATTAAATCAATTATAACAATAATTAATACATACCTGATATTATAGATTGATTAGTTGGTAAATGGTTGACTGTAGTCACTGTACTACTGGTAGCTGATTGTCTAGCTGGACCTAATTATAGTGCAGTTAAATGAGATACACATTTAGTAACTAATGACTCACCACCTCCATAATTAAGGCTAATGTGACTGAAGAGATCTAGTGTTACTCCAAAGTAATGCTTGAGGACTGTCTTGAGTTTACTTATTGTCATTTCTTCCCATCTGTCATTCAGTTTAATAACGACTGGTTTTGTTTGATCGCTAGTGGTTGGTGAGGCTAATGCTGGTAATGATGACAATTTCTCTTTAATTGTTGATCGTATGTGCTTCAATTGTGATGATTCTGAGAATTTATCAACACTATCAATGTATTGAGTTAGTTTATTATGAATATCATCTGATGAAGGGATGAGTTGATGTACTAAATTCTTGAGTAACCCAAAATTGAAGAAGTCGTAATGTGGTCTAATGGCATTAAATATAGTGTTAATGTTAATTTCTGATAACTTTAAATTTTGCTCCAAATATTGTTCTGCATAAAATGCAACAACATTTGCTTCCAATTTCCCATTGGAGACAAGTTCATTAAAACGCCTCCTTATTTCAAAATCAAGACGAGTAAACTGCTCATGTAGTGATTCAATACTGCGAGCAACTTCTCCTATTGAACTAAGTTCTATTACAGTGGGACCAGAGTGAGGATCAACATGTAGCTGTGATTGGTAAGGATGGACATGTGCTGGTAATTGATTCACAGCTTCTGTTCCTTTTATGCTACCTCCTTTACTTCCTAATTCAAATGATCAATAACAGATAATATGTACATGTACACAATACATGGATATGAGTAACCTATTTCTAAAACTTATGGCAAAGACTCATTAATTAATTAAGCCCAACATACACTAAGCTACATTCGGACATAATGCTGTATTGGTGAAATGAAATACTGCATAGCATAAAATTTTAAAGAATTTAATTTTGTCAACTTGAAAAAAGCATCTTCATTTGTAAGCATCTTTATTTGTAGATTAAATTTTGTAGCTAAACTATAAAAAGCTATTTTATAGATAGAGTCATGCATGAAGTACATTATTTGCAAATTTAAATTTCGTGCTTAGGATGCCTTAAGCTATCATACATGGGGCAACATTGTTGCCTTTTGTTAACATTGTTACTTTGATCTTTGTTGCCTCAAGTTGACCACTGCTCAACTTGAGGCAATAAAAATCAAAGTAACCACAAAGTTTCAAGCAACAATGTTGCCCCATGTATGATAGCCTTTAGCAATAAACCTTGTTTATAAAGTGGGTGTGACTATGGCAAATAAAATGGCAGCTTACACAAGGGACATCAAGCATGTCAAGAGAACTAACAATCTAACATACCATGGATCTGGATATTTTTATTGCTAAAATATTTTGTGATGGAAGTGACCCACAAAACTTTGAGAAACAAAACATTTTCTACAGATAATAAATTATTCTAACGTGCCGCAGTGCTTGCACAAGGCTCTTCTAAAAGCCCAATGAAGACCTGAAGCTCTCACCCAAGAGGCTTCTTGTCAGTTTCAGTGATGTGATGACATCAAGAGTTAGTAGGCACGTGTCCAGTATATGTCTCATCCAAAATTTTGTG